CTCTCCCCGTGCCGTGTCAGCAGGCAGGGGTGGGGGGGTTATTCAGCCCCCGCAGCACCCTGTGGGCAGCTCTGTCTTGTCTTCAGAGAGCATCTCCTGTTGCTTTTCTCTCCTGAGGGCAAATTTTGGTGCTTCCTGAGCAAGAAATAACGCCTGTTGGTTTGTTGCTGTTGTCATGGTGCCTTTTTCTACGTCTTTATCTGGAAAGTGTTGTCCAGACCCTAACGCAGCTCCCCAGTGTCTTAGCTGCTGTATGGGCAGAGAAACTGAGGCACTGAGCGGGTCACATCCCTGGTGTGGGGATGGAGAGATGAGAGCTGGAGCTCCTTACACTGTGCTGGGGTTCACAGACTCCGTTTCTTCATCAATTCCGGTGTGACAGTGCTGTTTGACTGGGTCTTGCGTTCTGCAGGCTCTGTGCCCCATCCCTGGCGTGGCAGGGGATGGCACGTGGTCCAGGAGTGATGTCCAGGCTGGATACTGAGGGGATGTAGTCCCTGGGGGTGGAAAGGCATCGTCGCAGCTCTGAGAAGCAGCACACGGGGCTGCGGGGAGCCGTGCCACCGCCACGGGAGGGGCAGTAGCTGTTAGTTGTGGCCAGGTTTGGAATTGGAGCTCTGCTTGCTCATCGTTATCGTCTGCATTGAGTAAAAGCTGATGTAAAGCTGCCAGTTCCCTGGGCTGAGGATGCTTCGTGCCAGCCATTCCTTTGTGTTCCTCTGGGGAACTCGTTGTGCCCAGAAGCCAGACACGGCGTGGCTGGGATTCAGCCAGGCCCTTGTCTCCAGGCTGGGGAGGTGGCAGAGGCGATGGGGGCGGGCTGGGGGGTGCAATTCCTCTGTAATAAGCCTCAATTCGGAACCTGCAAGGACTCGTGTCCTGCTGCTGCAGCTGGTTGTAGATTTAAGGGGCCTGGCTGCTTTCCTCTAGTGCCAGAGGCTGTAAAAAGGGAGAGAGCATGTGTTTGCTTTTTACTACGAGTATTTTTTTGACACTTCAACAGAGCTGTGGGCAGCGACAGTTTCCATTCGGTTTCTCTTTCCAGCTCCGAGCCGCTCTCGCAGCGTGCTCTCGCCCACCGCCTCGCTCCGTCCCTCCCCCCGGGGCTGCGCGGGCGATGCTGCAGGGGAGCAGTCACGTCCCTCACACCGCTTCCCTCTACGAGGGAATCAGAAGCTGCCTGTGAAGGTTTGCGTGGGGGTAATGAGGAGGAGGAGGAGGGAGGAAGAGCCAGTTGCCCTTTAAGCGAAGCCCCATTACATCACTTGCCAAGAGCCTTGGGCTCTTTCAGCCAGAGCCAGATCCGCTGTTCCCACTGCAGCACCCGTCACCCTTAGCAACAGGCATCTCTGCACCGTTGCCGTGGGAACGGCAGCCGGGTAGCGGGAGGACATCCCCCACCTTGCACATCTCCCACCCCAGGGAGGGGGACGATACCTCCCGCCTGGCATGGGCTGGTCTGCGCTCCCCTTGGCTCACACTTCCCCGTATGTGTGGTCCAGGTTTTGGTGGGGCCTCCCTGGGGATGTTGGTTTGTGTCCCCCAGTCCCCTGTGTGTGTCAGGGTTCTGGGATATGCTGGGCGATCCCCACATCCGCTCCAGAGCCAGCTCCTGTCTCTGTAGCACTCGGGGTACAGCCTGAGATGCCCCATGGCTATGTAAGGGAGGAGGAGGGCTCTCTCCAGGACTTGTCCTTAAATATATATGCAGCAAGGGCTAAAACCTCTCTTGGGCATTAGCCACCACCAGCTGGAGCGGGGTATCCTTTCCCTGGGTGTTGCTTTCGCTCCAGGCTGGGAGCTGCTGCTGTGCCCGCAGCAGACTGTTGGTCTGGCCG